GAATCGACTGGATGGGACCCAACAACATACGTGGGCGCTGCCCCCCACCCCGCCTGCATGCCTGGTGGGCCAGCGGTGGTCCTGCTGGCCGACCTTCCAAAGGCTGGGGTCCAGCCATCACCCCAGGCCCAGGTCCACTCACCACACACTGCAGCCCCTAGGAGGGCCAGGGTCACCAGGTGCACGGAGAAGCCCACCATGTTGCTGCTGTGTTCGAAACTCGAGACACTGACCGGGCAGGGCCCTGGGAGGCTTTATGAGTGAAGGGGGCGGGGAGCTCCCACAAGCCCCATCTGCTGGGTGGGCAGCCGCCCAGTGGAGAGAAGGGAACGTGCCACTTCCCTCCCCAGCGGGGTGGGGGATGGGGTGAGCTCCTTCAAGACTTTGCTCCAAGAGTAGACTGGGGGGTCTCTCCCCCTCTGTGAGTCTGGCACAGCTGTCCCTGAGAGAGGACAGCCCTCAGGGTGGGGAGGGGGCAGGGAGGAGGGCTGAACCCCACCCGCGTGTCCCCACCCAGTCCTGTGTCCTTCCAGCCTGAGGTTTCACAATAGTTGGAACCCAGTCCGTAAACAACCCGCTTCCTCATCTGCCCTCCCCTTCTTCCTCCAACTTGGAGAGGAGGTGGGGGGTGGGGAAGGGTCACTGACAGCCTTGTCCCTGCAGCCCCCAAGGCCTGATGCACCAACAAGTGGAGTGTCAGAAAGGTGGTGTGTAGGGGCAGCTGGATGCGAGTGACAGAAAAACCCGGTCAAAGTGGGGGGAGTCTTCAAGGAGAATTTAAGTGCAAAGTTTAGGGGCACTGCCTTTAGGTATGGCTTGATCCAGGTGCCAGAACAAAGTCAGAACTCTGCCTCTGGCTTCTCCTTTCCTCCTTGATGGTATCTCTTCTCACCACACCCCCCTCTTGTGACTCTGGAGCCCCAGACTCACCCGAGAGGCTTAGCAAACCCCCTTCCAAAGTGAAGGCCTCATTACCCATCACTCTAGCTAAAGTCTCAGGGCTGCCTCTGATTGGCCAAACTTAGATCACAGGCCCCCTGCGAAACCAATCACTGTAGGCAGGCATTGTCATATTCTGATTGGCCAGGCCTGGTTCACATGGCCCTGTGTAGGTGGGGCTGGTGGGTCAAGCTTTCTTGAACCCATAGGATAGAGGTTCTGGGACTGGATGTGGGTGGGTGTCATGTTCACACGTGGGAGTAGCCAGGTGTTTTTTTTCCCTCGGCTGCTTTTTTCTGCCCAGAGGACTACTCCACACTTCCAGAGAGCAGGAAATAACACAACACATGAGATTTGTGGGGTCCTAAAGTATTTCCTTATTGAAATCAGAAACGCTGAGCAAAGGCCTCTAGGAGGCGGAGCCCAGTCCATGTGTGAGGAGGACTCATGTCTGAGATGGCGGCAGAATTTGGAAGTGCAGCTGTAAGGGAGGTTCAGTAACTCACCTCGGCCTTGCCCAGACGCTGGGCTGTGCGGGGGGGTGCCGGGGTGTATCGTTAACGTGGAAACAATCGCTGGGCGGTGGCTTGCCCCTCTGAGCAGCTGGCACTTGGGCGGAGGTATGACGAGGGGAGGTGCCCAGGGGACAGCTGTGGGAAGGGCAGGTCAGGCCGATGGAACAGCATGGGCAAAGGCGCAGAGGTGGGCCCCAGCCTGGCTGATGCATTCCATGGGGAGAGGTTTGGGGCCAGGGAACCAGGTGACAGGAGGTTTGTTCCGAGTTCATGGGGAGACGTATCGCCTTTCTTTATCTGCTATTTGGATAACCGTTTCCTCCCCCCTCAGACTGAGGCACACGATGGCAGAGGTTATGTCTGTCACGTCTCCACCTGTGGCAACTCTAGGCTCGGGAAGGCAGACAGACGGGCCTGGGCCAGTCCCTCCCCCAGGGCGGCTGCCTCGGACCTGCCCTCCATTAGGGCTGGGGGTTACCTTGGGAAGTATCCACTCTGTCCCTCAGTTGTTAGAGGGGAAACTGAGGCTGGGGAGGTGGTGAGAGGGCTTGTCGGTGTCATTCAGTGAGGACGAGTCAGGCCTAGGACCCAGACAGCACCTCACGCCTCCCCACGAGGAAACTGAGCCTCAGAGAGACAGCGAGCAACCTGCCCAGAGTCACACAGCGGAGACTCAAAACCAGGTCCGGGAAACCCCAGATCCAGGCTCCTGACCAGGGCTTTACACCAGAATGATATCGGCCTTCGATGGAGGATGGAGGGCGACGCTCACTTCTTGCCTCAATGCCCTCACTTTGCCGCCACCTGGTGGTAGCGTACTCAAGATGCCCCAGACAACTTGACCATTTTCAACACCCAACTGCACAGCAACAATTCCCAAACACATTCTACAAAACAGAACTTTTATTGTGCTAGACAGTTGATGACGCAGCCGTGAGCACATGAAGTGGGGTGACTAGGGCAGACCCTCCTATGGAGTCCTGCTTGCGGGATCTCTGGGGTGGGGAGGGGGTGGATGATGAACTCCGTCATGGCGGCGGATTACGGAGTTGATCCAGCTTGCGAGCTGTGCCACAGGGGCAAAGGCGTCTGGGTAGAACCCAGAGCCACAGCCCCCCCGGATGAAGGAGTCGATGCCATGGACTACCCCATTGCAGACCAGGGGGCCACCGGAGTCCCCCTGTGGAGGCAGACAAAGTCAGGAGGCTGGACTGCCAGGCCTGCTGCCCACCCGCTGCCCTTGAGGGTGTAGGAAGTCCTTCTTGAAGTCTGACTACAGTCTCTGCTGCTGTAGCCTGGACTGGGAGTGGGGAGCCTGGGACAACAGGGTAGGGAGCATAGGGTACTTACGAAGCAGATGCCAGCCCGCCGGCGACGCACGAGGGTGCACACATTGGAGCGAGGGCAGAGAGACGTCACCACGGTCACATTGAGCTCCTGCAGGACACTGGGTGCTGGCCGGTTTGTGCCTAGCTGGCCCCAGCCAATGGCCAGGCACCGCACCCCATTACCTGGGCCACGGTTTGGGGCAGGCAGCCGGGCCACCTGCACGTTAGTATTGAGGGTGGCTGTCCCGTTGAGCTGCAGTGGGCAGGACAGAGCAGCTGCAGGTCACGTGGGGCAGTGACCCTCCCCACTAGGTGCCTCAGTTTCCCCACTGAGGCCCTACCCAAAAGGTGGGTTCCGAGGCCTGTGGAGAGGCCACCCAGCCCGCGGGCTGCTCCCTGTCCTCGGCCTCAGTTTCCCCATCTACACACAGCAGCCCCAGTGGCTCGGGCGTTGTTCGGGGGGGCGTCCCCAGACGCAGCGTGAGCAAGGTCGACAGCAGATGCTCAGTGAGGGACACTGGACGCAGGACTGACCGCGGGAGCCTCGGTCTAGAACATTCTCTGGAGCAGCAGCCTGGGGAGGGGCTCTCCCTCAAGCCGCCCACTGCCAGGCGGGAGTTCTGTCCCCGTTGCGCACAGGGAGGGGCTGTTCTGCCAGCGGCTGCAAGGCTGGTGAGTGGGGGCACGGAGGTGACCCCGCAGCGGCCTGGTGACTGACACCCTGCTCCCCTCCTTTAACGCCCTCCACAGGCCACGAGGAGGCGGATTCCCATTTTACAGGGGGAGTCTGAGGCACAGAGAGGGGTGGCCATGGTCAGAGCCCAGATCCGCCCCAGCTCTGCCCTTGGGAGCCCGCAGCCTGGCCCGAGCTGTCCCCACCCCCAGCCCCTTCTCCACCGGCCCCGGCTGGCACCTGGAGAATCACAATGTCGTTCTGCAGGGTTACGGGGTTGAAGCCATTTTCAAAGACCCTCCGGACGGTAAATGTCTGTCGTGTGGGCTCACGTGCCCGCAGGTTATGGGCCCCCAGTACCACCTGCACCGACTGGAAGTTTCTATGAGCAGGGAGGGGGATGGGCAGTGATTGGGGGTGGCCCCTGGAGTTCAGAGTGGTGGGGGACCCCAGGCCCAGCCCTGCTCTGAAGGGGCCTCACTTCCCCTCTCCCCTGTGCCCCATCACTGAGTGCCTGTCTTTGGGCCCAAGGGGATGGTGTTCTGAGGGCTGCCCCATGGGCCCAGGCCCAGGGCCGGGTCTTCCCCCCACCCCACTTTACAGACGTGGAACTGAGGCTCTGAGAAGGGAAGCAAACCTCCAGCTGACTCACAAGCCGTTCACACAGTGTGCCGCAGACATGACGAAGCTTGGGGTGATGAGGGTGGCCCCACAAAAGTGGCCCCCACGCCGCTGCAGGGACCCCATGAAGGGCCAGGCATGGGGCCGGGCTGGCCGGCCACCCACGATCTCTGAGGCCAGTGCAGGCCCTGGGGACACATGGTGGGAGCTGTGAGCCCAGCCAAGGATGTCCCACCCAGCTCCTTGAACCCCCTCAGGACCCCATGACATCAGGCTTCCTTCATCCATTTCCCGGATGAGGAAACTGAGGCACAGAGAGGGGAAGGGGTCTGCCCAGGGTGCCCCCCATCCAGGGCACAGCCGGATCCAGATGGAACCCAGCTTC